CGTCAGGCGGGGCGTCGACAGAGGCGTCATCAGGGTGAGGGATAGAGGGGGAGGGCAACAACACGGGGAATGGTCTGCGGTAATCATGTGTTTCAAATGTTGTTTTATTAACTTCCGATCGCTTCCATTCTAGGGATATTTTGTACTAATCTCATTTATTCGAGCTCATTTGCTGACCGCCGATGTTCGTTTAATTAAGTTCGCGACATGAAAAATTGCAGTTTTCCAACCTATTATAAAGCTTAAAAGCTAGTCATGCTATTTAAACTTACCTATACCGTTGTTACTCTCCACTGCCATCTACTGTGGGGAGTATCCACCCTCCATGTTCCTCCACTATATCCGTTTTCGGTCGCCGGGATATGGTAACCCGTTCCTTGTCAGGCGACCTCCATCCCGGAGAAGTATTTGCATATGATCTTTGTGTACTTACATGCTGCATCAAGATAGGAAGTTGTGCGCACGGGCTTTTGTCGTTCGAAGTTTTTCGGGCACTAAAGTACAAACATATGTGTATTAACAATTGCGAGTAGCTTTTCGGATGCAAACTTTTGTACATACGAATATTTTCGTTTGAATTTGTTTCCGATTAGCAATTGACAACGCGAGCATTGCCCTATACAATACTCTTTACCAGCTTTAGACGTCACGAACTTGTTAGGCCTCGGTCTGATTATAGGCCTTTTTCTCAAGAACTTGGGACAAACAAAATGTATGCTGTAAGGAGTTGTCTCGCGAACTTTCAGACACACTGCGTCGGCAACCCACAGGGAGGAGTGTGACTTTTTGGGATATTCTTGGCCGAACTGCAGACCACTTTAACGTACCTGAAGTCTAAGCATCTCAAAAGCCGCTTGGCCACGTCGGTTCTTCGGGCAGATTACGTTTGACGGATAACGCTGACGGAGTAAGCCTGGCGGAATACAGCGCCTTGGTTGATGCCAGTAGTTCAACGCGTTGCCGTCACAGGGCGCCGAACCCCCGATTCACCCGAGCTAATTTTGTTTTAAATCCTTGCTGCCTCTGGGATTCTTAGCTGCCAAAAGAAGTTAAAGGAAACTTTTCACATTTGAAGATATTGAAGCACGCATCAGATATGATGAAAACAAACTCGCTTTTCGTATACTTTTTTAGTTGAAGAGACTGCTCTAGACAGCAACAACTCTCTTTGTAGTAATTACGCTCCTCAGTGTGTCATGTTTTGATTACGTCATGGTACCTTGCACAGCATTGATTAGGAACCAATTAACTACCGTTATATCTGGAAATCCCGCTCGCGAACGCCAGATATGAATGTCTCGGCAATTACATTTTTCTTGGCCTTGATCGCCACATGGCATATAAAATGGCAGGATTCGAATGGCGTTGCTATGACGTTATGAATGTCAGGGTGACTTTGAAATACTCCTCCCGATATACGTTTTTCTGTTTTCGCGGGCGTGTAGTTCAGAAACGTGTGAACAGCACCGAAAGGTCTTCAAGATGGTTATTTCGGCTCAAAGCCCCAAATAAATGTGGACCTCTCTCTTTAAACAGAAATCAAAATAGCGGACGTGGAAACGTGACCAAAATGACAGTAAGGACCGGTAGACGTTAGGATTGGCCAACAATTTCTTACGCATTGGCCGTACTTCAACGTGTTTTTGTTTCGAACATCAAGGTCCAATACGTTCGGATTGGTATCGTGTGTTGGTAGCTTCCTTACTTTCAAGTATTGCAAAATGTTTGACATATTGCTATTATCATTAGATTCTTAATGATGAATTGACCACAAATTGTTCGTGATCGCGTAAAAAGACAAAAGGGTTTACGTTACCTTAAACGTTGCGATTCAACCGCTGATCCTCTTCAAACGGTGCGCGTTTTGCTACAGACAGTTGAGAAGTTGTCTGGCAGGTTTAAAAGTTTGTCTCTAAGGGAAGAGCAATGTCAGATAATAATGTCGCGGCGTGGCGCGTGACCGGGTCTAATGTTTTTGTAGTGTCATGGTCCGTGGCGGGGCTTAATGTTTTCGTGTCATTTGATAGCTCTTGCAACAGTGCCACGAGACATGAATGTTCCGCTGTTTGTGCCCGATGATTTTGAGCACTAGCCCTATGAAAATTGTTTCCCCTCGCCCTACGAGGGGAGCCTCAAAGGGACATAAAAGAAAGACATCTAAAGAATTTTTAAGATGAGTGCTAGTGTCTAGTGGACATCGACACATGTCACATTTCATCCCAGGATTTAATGTCTGAGGGCTATTCCTCCATCGGTCTGTGCGGTTATATAAAAAGCTGGGCATGCAACGTCAATGGAGAAAATGGCGTTACGAAGCACTCCAAAGTGTGAAGCATGTGTCTGAAACGTTTTGGCATATGACCTTTTAAGTGTCAAATCCCATCACAAAGGTCAAAGTTTGTTATCGCTTGACCTTGAGTGACCTGACGTTCCAAAGCCACCAGAATGGTCGTAATACTATTCAGAGTGGCGTAAATAAGGATAGTAGTTTAAAAAACTCTTTGGAGTGCATTTTCGGGTGAAAATTAAGACTGTTTATCATTTATGACCAAAATGTCACTGACGATACATCAGGGTGGTGCCATAGATAATGAGCTGTAAAGGTAAGAAATTTCATTCTTCACAGCATGTGTAAATCGGACGAAAATGAACTAATATATTCTCAAGTAATACGCGTCATATATTTGATATTTGATGTGTTCAAATTAGCGACAATGTGCTTAAAACCATCCAGAAGTTGTTCTGTGCTACCCATGGGGGGAGGCTGTGAGGCAGACCCTTGTAGAATCACGGGCAACACGCGGCAGTGGTTTTACGTGTAGGGTTTCTACTTGAATTGCCGTGCCACTGGTGGCTGTTACACGTTTCCTGAAATATATCCCTGCCACTGCATGGTATGTCGGCACATGCCGGATTGGGCTCCGGTACAAAAAGCCGAAGGACAAACGAAGAGCTACGAACAAGAAGTGAAATGCAAGAAGCCAAACGGCAAGCTGTCGAACGGGATAAACACCAAATGCACAAAGTCAACAGAGAAAAGTGCCCAAATCACTTTAAGTCAAACGGCTGAAGTTCAAAAGGATAAAAGTTAACAGCAAAGCTCAAAACAGAAAAAAAAACTTCCAAGGTGATGAAAGCAAAATTGATAAAAGTTGAAAATGCAAAAATTCAAAAAGATAAATCCAAGTACAAAGAGGCAAATACACACGAAGCCGAAAGAAATAAAAAAAATCACATGAAGCCCGGTTTCCACCAAGTTTTCCGGCCCCGAAAACCGGGCAGTTTGACCGGGACGGAAAATTGAAATTGTCATAAGATGTGCAGAGAGTATCTATATTTGTTAAACCGTAATGTCTGTATGGGTCCTGGCAGCACCGGTCCGGAAATTCACAACAACACGTGACGATAGTTTGAATGTACCTTTCGAAATAAACTTCTCAAAAGACGATGCTTTCATGCTCAGGTTTTGTTGAAGAAATGTTGCAGAAGGTGTCGTTTAGAAAATATGATAGGGGTATCTATATGTGTCATACAGGTGGTGCGTCGTCTTCGCCGGTAGTTAAGTAGTACAGGTAGTACAGAGAGGCAGCAAGACAGCGAGACGGCGGGATAAAGGAACAGAGAGACAGAACAAGTCAGAGAGACAGGGACAGAGAGACAGAGTAAGTCAGAGAGAGAGAGAGAGAGAGAGAGAGAGAGAGACAGAGACAGAGAGAGAGAGAGAGAGAGAGAGAGAGAGAGAGAGAGAGAGAGAGAGAGAGAGAGAGAGAGAGAGAGAGAGAGAGAGAGAGAGAGAGAGAGAGAGAGAGAGAGAGAGAGAGAGAGAGAGAGAGAGAGAGAGAGAGAGAGAGAGAGAGAGAGAGAGAGAGAGAGAGAGAGAGAGAGAGAGAGAGAGAGAGACAGAGACAGAGACAGAGACAGAGACACAGAGAGACAGAGAGACAGAGAGAGGGAGAGACAGAGACAGAGACAGACAGAGAATCGGGGTGACGGTTAAACAATGATATCTCATCTGTACCCCTGCTGGCATGTCAGCGTGTCCCACTGCACTACGCGCCAATGACGGCGACCCCGCTCCGCACCCCTCGTTAACTGCAGCGGAATGTAATTGGGCTGAACTGCGTGGCGCTAAATCGGATCACGTGATGGACTCGCGCTTCACGGGTGTAACCGAGTGAAGCTCCGGGGTCGCCCTGTACTTCAGTACTCCGGGGCCGCCCCGGTGCTTTAGCACTCCGGGCCACCCCGGTACTTCAGTACTCCGGTGCCACCGCGGTGCTTCAGCACTCCGGGGCCACCCCGGTGCTTCAGTACTCCGGGGCCACCCCGGTGCTTAAGCGCTCCGGGGCCGCCCCGAGGCTTCACCACTCCGGGGGCACTCTGGGGCCATTCCGGTGCTTCAGCACTCCGGGGCCACCTCGGTGCTTCAGCACTCCGGGGCACCGCGGTGCTTCAGCACTCCGGGGCCACCGCGGTGCTTCAGCAGTTCTCGCTCTGCATTGCCACATGTAAACCCATTCGTTGTGCTGGGAAGAAAACAGGCAGTGTCAGCCCAAACCAGCATAACCGGTCATACAGGCCAGTCAGTGACTGATCCCAAAGCAAACCAGTAAAGCCCATGTACGTCTTTTAATGTTTTAAATGCATTCAGTGCTGTGCCTGTGTTTCAATTCTGCGATGTTTCGCACCCGCGTGGTTTTGCATTTAATCAGAAACGAGCATCCATATTTACCTCCGCCAAGACAAAGTGAAAGCATTCCGAACGCCCTCGGTTCCTTACAAGCGCGTCGCCGCTCCTCACTCTGTCATCGAACGGACGTGACGCGCGCCGCCAGCGGGACGGCGACCACGGCTGACCGGGGCGGGGTCGGCAGGTCGCGGCCGCCGGAACCGGACGCCTGCACGGGGCACGCGCCCCCCGAGGGCGCGCAGGACCAGCCGCAGGGGACGGACCGGCGCCGGCTCAAGCTGACCGTCGTCGGCGACGGCACCGTCGGCAAGACGTGCCTGCTGCACGCCTTCGTCAACGGCACCTGTCCGGACGAGGCCGAGTACATCCCGACCGTGTGAGCCCCTGTCCGGATGTGGCCGGGTACATCCCGACCGTGTGAGCCCCTGTCCGGACGAGGCCGAGTACATCCCGACCGTGTGAGCCCCTGTCCGGACGAGGCCGAGTACATCCCGGCCGTGTGAGCCCCTGTCCGGATGAGGTACTGAGTACATCCCGGCCGCGTGAGCCCCTGTCCGGATGAGGTACTGAGTACATCCCGGCCGTGTGAGCCCCTGTCCGGATGAGGTACTGAGTACATCCCGGCCGTGTGAGCCTCTGTCCGGATGTGGCCGAGTACACCCCGACCGTGTGAGCCCCTGTTTGGACGAGGCCGAGTACATCCCGACCGTGTGAGCCGCTGCCAGGGCACCGCGAGCCGCACACGCCGTCGACGGTAGTTGAGTGGGATCCATCCATTTTTTTTTTTAGGTTTGGTTTCGTTAAAATAATATAACGTCACTCGCGCATAGTTTGTTGTAGCTCATTTCTACTCATGCACGCTTCCTGCCGTTTGCCGCGTTTGCCCTCCGCGCAGCTCATGCCATAATTTCCTGCTGACATGCGTGGATTGCAGTGTCGTCTTCCTCGCTGTTACTTCGCCTCACGCCGTCAGTTATAACGAGCCGTCCGGAAATGGGGGAGGAGGTTTTGATGGGGTGTAACTTAAAGTTTCTTGAACAGCGAAACATTGCGCTCATTTGTGGTTTAAAATCATGCTTGAGCCTTGAAACCATTTTTGGCCACGTAACCAGGCTAACGTGGCTCTCGTCCAGCTTAGCCAGCACGTGATCACCAGGGAGGGGAAGGTTGGAAATAGCCAAATGCGTACCGTAATTTATGGAAGGTCCTATTCGGCATATGGCGCGGCGTCTTACAACGGCACTGTCCGTGAACTGTGTGCGGTTTGGCTGATGACCTGATGACCTGATGTGCGGTTCAGCTGATGACCTAATATGCGGTTCGACTGATGACCTGATGACCTGATGTGCGGTTCAGCTGATGACCTGATATGCGGTTCGACTGATGACCTCATGACCTGACGTGCGGCTCAGCTGATGACCTGATATGCGGTTTGACTGATGACCTCATGACCTGATGTGCGGTTCAGCTGATGACATAATGTGCGGTTCAGCTGATGACATGATGTGCGGTTCGGCTGATGACGCTGATGACCTGATGACCGTGCCGGGCCGACCCTCGCCGCAGCTTCGACAACTCATCGCTGGACTGGAGCGTCGGAGAGACGCCGGTGCAGCTCAGCCTGTGGGACACGGCCGGCCAGGAGGAGTACGGCCGACTTCGCCGGCTCATCTACCCGGCGGTGAGCTGCCGCAGCGCCCTGCCGCCACCGCTTGAGCGTCACCTCGGCCGAGGCCAGGGAGGGGGGGGGGGGATCTGTCACGTCACCTCGGCCGCGGTCAGGGGAATCTGTCACGTCACCTCGGCCGTGGTCAGGGGAATCTGTCACGTCACCTCGGCCGTGGTCAGGGAAGTCTGTCACGTCACCTCAGCCGTGGTCAGGGAAGTCTGTCACGTCACCTCGGCCGCGGTCAGGGGAATCTGTCACGTCACCTCGGCCGCGATCAGGGGAATCTGTCATGTCACCTCGGCCGTGGTCAGGGGAGTCTGCCACGTCATCTCGGCCGCGGTCAGGGGAATCTGTCACGTCACCTCGGCCGCGGTCAGGGAAGTCTGTCACGTCACCTCGGCCGCGGTCAGGGGAATCTGTCACGTCACCTCGGCCGCGGTCAGGGGAATCTGTCACGTCACCTCGGCCGTGGTCAGGGGAGTCTGCCACGTCATCTCGGCCGCGGTCAGGGGAATCTGTCACGTCACCTCGGCCGCGGTCAGGGGAGTCTGCCACGTCATCTCGGCCGCGGTCCGGGGAATCTGTCACGTCACCTCGGCCGTGGTCAGGGGAGTCTGTCACGTCACCTCGGCCGCGGTCAGGGGAGTCTGTCACGTCACCTCGGCCGTGGTCAGGGGAGTCTGTCACGTCACCTCGGCCGCGGTCAGTGGAGTCTGTCACGTCACCTCGGCCGCGGTCAGGGGAGTCTGTCACGTCACCTCGGCCGTGGTCAGGGGAGTCTGTCACGTCACCTCGGCCGTGGTCAGGGGAGTCTGCCACATTACCGGCCGATGGCTTGTTCAACATCTCACTATCATTTGAGCAGCTGGCGACGGATCTTTGGATGTACCTGCGCTGTGATAAATTGATTAGCCCTTGCGTTGCAGTGATGATGACGCAATTTCAGCACCACGACGCCGGTGGCGTTTCATGCCATACTTTGTTGGCTGTTTTTTTTATGGAACCTTGTGCTGTACCCGCTGTTTGGCAGTGCAGCGTGCGGGGAGGAGGAAAAGTACAGCGAACTTCTACCGGCCATGGACCTATGATGCATTCATGTTTTTATGACAATCTATTCTGTTTGCTATCTAGGCGATGGTGACCGTGCTAATGATCAAAACAACTCTTTCGTGCCCAAGGTAATGCATATAGCTTTGGATTTCAGACAGACATATTTGTTCTATGTTACGCTGTCGACAACGTCAACTCCTTCAAGAACATCAGCTCCCTGTGGTGGCCAGAGCTTCGTCATGACTGCCCCAATACTCCCATAGTGCTCGTCGGTGAGTACCGGTATGGAGCGTACCCTCCTTGAACGGACCCTACTGCATGCCTCTACACGGGTCCTGCTACGGGCCTCCTCACACCGACCGTTCCTGCTCGCACCGACCCTGTCACGGGCCTCCTCACGCTGCCCCTGCCCCAGACCTGCTACTTGGACGACCTGCACGCGGGCTGCGTGTCAACACACTTGCTTTCTGTTCTTTCCTATTATTATTGTCTAGACTTGTCAGGAGGCCCGGACATTCAAGGTTGTAAGCAGCCAGGCTATCCCTCCAGATGTCTTGATTTGCTCATATGTTTATCTAGCTTTCGTAATGAATGCACGTGTTTATTACGGCCGCAGTGCCGGCAGCCCATGCCATAAAAATATTGCAGAGCTCCAGAGTAAAACACGGATGCATGAAAACAGCCAGACCCGCCACTGATTAGTCCACCAGATGGCAGCACCAGTCACCCGTCGGTCCCACCGCAGGCACCAAGACGGACGTGCGCCACGCCGCGCCGGGATCGGCGCCCGCTGGCGTCAGCAGCGCGCAGGGCCGCCGCCTGCGCGCCAGACTGGGCGCCGCCGGCTTCCTCGAGTGCTCGGCCCGGGCGTGCCAGGGCGTGCGCGAGGTGTTTGACGTGGCCGCCCGGTGCGGCCTGCGCGGGACGGCGCGGCGCCGCTGGTGTCAGCTGCTCTGAGCGGCCAGGCGGGACGGTGCAGGCCGGGTCCTGCCCCGCCGGCCGGCCGGGGCGGTGCAGGTGGTGCAGGCGCAGCGACCGTGAGGACGGGACAGGGGCCGTCCCGCCCAGTTGGCAGGGCGGGACCGCGCGGTTGGTGCACACGCAATGAGCGTGAGGGGACGGCCAGGGATGGATAGTTACGTGGACAAGGATGCAGACTGGCCGGGTGACACATGCGATGCATGTTGCCACGTGTGTTGGGGAGCGATACCGAAGGCTGTCCATCGATATCTCGATGTCATTCAAGACCACAAGGGGAAGCAGGTGTAAAACGAATAATGAGGGTGCTAGATACACGAGGACAGTCAGAATATAGCACAACATGCAACTTTGGCTTCCCCGAAAACTTTAAAGAAAGCTGTTTGCTTAAATGTAACTTAAAGTACGGCAATCGGTGCACGTGGTTTTCTACAACGTTGTACGTTATATTGTATGTATATGTATCATATGTTATTTGATTTAGTGGTGTATAACGTTTACATGATATATTCTACACAGAAACCAAAATGACGGTGAGGGAATGCCGCAATTTATTTTCGGACATGAGAAAGGAGCTTTCCAGTGATGCCTTTTCCTGGAATGAAGACCCAGCCGAGTCGCTAGTGTTCTGGTGGCTTGGACATCCCCATGCCGAGTTGCCAAACGATCGCGGATGTTTTGCGTCAGTGACAGGCATTTATGTATGAACTATTTCTTCCACATCAGAAGACGAGCCGTGGCCATACTCCCGGCTCTGAAATGTGATAGCCAATCAGCAGCCACACCTGGTATTTCAGGGCGGCCCTGTGCTGTTTACCCCTGGGCTAAGCGTGATATCCGCCGCCGCATGTTTCTACTTCCTGCCCTGACACAATGAATGTTGTGGTACATTATGCTAAGAAATGAGTGCTGTGGCTGGTTGCGGCCAACGGCATGACATATTTTTGATTCGTCAACGATCGTTAAAAGCTCGTTTCTTGAAAGCAGGTTGGAGTGGCTGCTAGCAAACATGTGCGATATGATGTCACCAGCACATCACTGACGCTGCTGAGATGCGTTACGTCCGTACCGAATCGCTTCTGCTGACACACGTGAAACGGGCGCGTTTCTGGTGTGTCCCATCTGTGCATTAGCGGGTGTACGCCTATTATCACCCAAGAATATACCCTCTAGTCATCATGGCGCCGTCGTGTTTTCCTATCGCCGAATTTCCCCGGGGGCTTTGATGCGTCGCCACGAAGAGCACGCGTTTAGATGTTTTCTTTCCCTTAGATGCATATGGGGAAGTCGGGAAATGTTTTCGTAATGTAGTGCACGATATATATATATATATATATATATATATATATATATATATATATATGCGAAGTGTGCTGTATGTGATACCATACTTTTGTGCAACATGCTCTTCTTTAATTCTCGATTTTCCGTGTTCGCATTGATTCTTTCATCGTTCCTGGCGGTTTTACCTGCGATCTACCTTTTTCCAGTAACATAGTTACCGTAATTCACTGAGTTCATGTTCTTCCTTCTTTATTCAGCATTATGCAGAAAAATTGGGGTATGTCTCAATCCATGATACCTATCTTGGACGGCACATTGCAATCATTGATATTTTAATACATATATATATATATATATATATATATATATATATATATATATATATATATGTGTGTGTGTGTGTGTGTCATATCACAATAATGCATGTATTTTTTATGACATGCATGGCGATTTCCGCCTGCACGTAAAATTATTGGAGACAAGAGTCAGCCGGAAGTTTTTGGTGATGACCGAGATGGGATGCATGCGATCGAGACGCATGCCGAGCAGGACCTACGGCCTTGGCGGACCTACGGGCCGATCATGCAGGCGATCAAACTGCACGTTTGCCTGCGTCTTTCGTGCCTTCCTGACACGTGTCATTAGGAAAAACGCTTCACTACAGCACTTTTGTTTGCTTCCTGTCGAGCTCTGTTTGCCAAAAGTTGTTCCTCCGCCACTTTTCAATACCAATATTTCGTTGCGGTTTTATGGCACACGAGCGCAATGTTTCATGGACACATGAGCGCATGAGGGCTGCCGTCAGCTGTTATTGAATGACGTCAGTAAAACGAACTTTTACAATTGGCACAGCGGGCGGCTATGGCTGGTTACCGAGAAGCGCATTGGTTGAAGTTTGAACCAGTGCGTCACTACAGCCATGTGATACTCCGCTCCACTAATCTAAAATGCGCTTCGAAAAGAGACACTGTAGTAAACGCCATAGCGGAGAAATCAAAGTACAACCTTTTGTTGAATTCGCGGGATAAAAGCTTCATGCTCGCATCTATATACAAACATGTTGACAAATAAGTCTGTTGCAAACATTGCAGAACACACATGTTGGAAAAAGTAAAGCACATGAAGCGTTATTACTTTCATAGCGGTGAGCAGGGAGCTTCAAGTAGACTTATCCTACAGGAGCGGCTACTTCAAATCGAAGCCTGCGCTATCCAGGATGATTTTGAGAAAGCCGGTAGTACAGATAAAATCGTACGTGTCTGATCAATAATAAATGAAAAGTGCAAAAAGGTGGCGCGCCCCCTTTAAGGAAGGCTTCCTGGGTTCGTGGCGCCCGCCGCCTTCGGCTGTCATCGCTGCCCAAGTCTTATGCCGAACCACGAGTCAGATGTCTTACGTCAAAGGCCGGGTGCAGTTTCGAGTGACTTACAACATATGCAACCCCCGATCAACAGATCTGATGGGCTTGTTTAATCTATCTGTCAGCAATGGTCAAGTTCTCGTAATTCGGCCAGAGGCGAGGACAGTTTGGTGGCGAGAGGCCCAGTCAAAGGAAAAGAAGCGGATCGAGCGTAACCCAAACGTTTGAATCTGTCGCTGGTGAGCTGCTTCTTCACGGTAACATCATGAGTGGTCAGCATCCTGCCCGTGAGGTCTTGCTAACGCATGCTTGTCACCACCGAACCCGTCGGCATGATTTTCCGGCACTTGATAACATCACACTGCCAAAGCCACAGATCACTGACGGGCGGCAGTAAGACTCGCCCTGTCCCGTCCCTGTAACCGCCCTTGCGAGCCGCACGGGCCGCCCGTCGTCTGCAGAGGCGCAGGGCGCGCTGGCGCAGCCGGCCAGCGTGGAATTCCCGTCAGCGACGCGGCCGACGGCGGCGAGCGGCGAGTCCAGCTGGGCCCAGCTGCCGCGGAGTGTGCCGGCAGGGAGACGGCGTCGCCGCTGCAGCCGGCTCACCAGTGATGGCCGCTGGCCGTGCAGTGATGTGGACAGCGGCGGTGCTGCTGCTGGCGTGCCGCTTCTTGCCGGCGACCGGCCGCATTACATTCCCGCAGAGCGACGGGCCGAAGCTGTGTCAAACGTCGCAGGGTGGCGATGGTGTGTGTGTGTCGCTGCTGTCGCGGCGCTGCTCGCTGTTCACCCGAGTGGAGCAGCTGGTGACGCTGCGGCCGCGCCTCTGCGCCGTCTCCCAGCGCGACGCGCTTGTCTGCTGCCCGCTGGCGGCCGTCGCGTCCGACCGGACAGGCGGAGCGGCGACGCCGCCGCCCAGGTTCGCCACGCCGGGGACAAGGCCCACCAGGCCACCGTCCAGGCCAACTAGGCCGGAGACAAGACCTACCAGACCTCCCAGACCGCAGCCGACGCCCACCAGGCCGGAGACCAGGCCAACGATTCCCACTAAGCCGCCGACGCGCTTCACCAGACCGACGGCGAGCCCTCCCACCGAATCGCCACCAACTCGCTCGCGACCCCCGGCTCGCCCCACCGGACCCAGCCGCGGCCAGGGCGCGCCACCCAACCGGCACGCGCCGATCGGCCTAAGGCCGCGGCCGAGCAACGCACCGTCGCGGGTGGCGCCGACCGCCTCCCCCGGGCGGGTCCGGCCCCACCGGCTACGCGGCTGCGGCATCAGTCGGCCTCTAACAGCCTTCCGCGCCTTCGGCAACTACTTCCAGCGCCCGCCGTCCTTTGCGCGCGTCACGCCCGTCCAACTGGGCGCACAGCCGTGGACAGCGCTGGTCGGCACCGTGGACGAGGCCGGCGTCACCCACTGGCTCTGCGCCGGCGCGCTGCTTACGCCGCGCATCGTGCTGACCAACGCGCACTGCGCCGGCGGCTCGCCCCGCCAGCTGCTGGTCGGGCTGGGCGAGCACGACCTGACGTCCGAGTCGGACGGCACAGCCGGCACGCACCCGGTACTGGCCGTGGAGCGGCACCCTGCCTGGACGCATCCGAGCCGGCGGCACGACCTGGCGCTGCTGCTGCTGGCGCGGCCGGCGGA